AAGTAACAAGCCTAATTTCCTAACTTTAAAAACACCAAGGTTATTGCATTTCCAATCGTTCAGTTATATGGCAGCTATAGGATAAAGTCGGCCGATCCCGGCCGTTTAGACTTATATACTGCGTGCAAAGGAACGAAGGGTGTGTGAAAAGTTTCAATTCGATATCTTTAAAACTGAGAGACTAGTTCGCGTAGAAACAGACAGACGGACATGCTTATATATACTCAGGACGCGATCCTGATCAAGAATATATATACTTTATAGGGTCGGGTCGGAGATGTCTCTATCACTGCGTTGCACACTTTTGACCAAAATTATAATAACCTCTGCAAGGGTATAAAAAGGGTGCAAACGTGCATTACAAAGGCTATCAGGAGGATGATGGGGGTGAAGTGGCACCTTTATGTGGAAAACCGAGCTATGTTTCAGGACACGGGAGTGACGACGATAACGGAGACGATTTGTAAGTCCTCAATTTAATACCAGGAACGTCTGCTAACACATGCAAACTGTCTGGCAAGACATCTTGAAACACCACTGGGTCGACGGCGTCTCCGCAGACGTCACCTAGCACACTTATGGAATCATGGCCGTGTCAGACACGGGCGTCTCCTATACTCTTGATTAACTTATGACCGGCTATGACCACACCTGATTTGCCCTAGAATAGAGCACACGCTACCCGCTTTTTCGGGATCTTTTGAAATAATTGGTCAATACACGAAAACAACGTCTATCCTTGTGTGGCGTGTTCAACAAAATATAAAAAAAAAAAAAAGAAGCAGATTGGTGCATAAATGTAAACGAGCCATATAATAATAATAATGTTTAAGCCGAAATCGACAATGTGAAAACAAAGTAATCGATCAATAGTCAGGCCCATCCTAATATGCTTGAGCGGTTTAGATTTAGATCAATAGACACACACGACTCCGACAACGAGACCTCCTTAGCTAACAACAATAGGTTTTCTAAATAATTTATTAACGCGGTTTAGTTAATTCGCCGAAAAATCGGACATTTTTGCACGAATTTTTTTGACGATATGGATAGTCTCAGTTACATTTTTGTTTAACCATGTGATAATACAACATTTAAACAATTTGCCGGAAATTTTGAATCCAAAAATATTGAAAAGTGAATAAGATGTAGGCATGAGATCTCTGGCGGCACCTCGAAAAAGGTGGTTTGCGGTGAACATCGTAACTGGTCACAGAATCATCGGAATTGAACAAATCAAATTGCATAATTTAAAGGACTACTCGATTTTTAAAGGCAAGAGATCTGTTGTTGTAAAAATTAAAAATTATCAAAAAAAACTCAACACCGTTACCTGAGAATTTAGTAAAGAAATACTGTGCCAAATTTCAAAACGATTCGTCCAGTAGATTTTGCAGGATCGTGTTCACCGACTTTGAAAATAGGAACTTAAACTTTTGAGAACGCTCTCAAAAATAAAATATTTGTGGGACTTTTATTTATAAATATTAATTTATTAATTTAATTTCAACACCACTTCCAGCAAGTATTGGTCTAGATTTTAATAACCTTAAAACCCAGATGAATTGTCTTGAGAATGTTCAGATTCAGAATTCTTCATAAAGGCCTAACACCACTTACGCACCCTGATGTTCAGAATCACCGAAATTTTGAAAGAAATATCTAAAAAGTCTGTTAAGCAGGGCCACTGCTTCCGTTAGGCAAAGTTTCGTCGCATAAATACATTTAAAGCTGGCTTTGACCTAATGTTCTGATGTTAGGTTATGTCTGCTAAACGGTTGTGCTAATCTTTTGGATGATTTCTATGGGGATTTCGAGAGTTCGAAAATAATCCTCATATTACTATAAATACGTTGTGTCATACGTGAGTATGTTAAAAAAGCGGCAAAATTTATTAAAATAGGTAGCAACACCTATGTTACTATATTTTCGACAGGTGTTTTTGCAGATTAACTTACATCACTTCTTTGCCATCAAATTATTTTAAATTAGTAAACTTACATTTTAATAAAATTGTGAAGGCTTAAAGCTTGATCTGTGTTGCTCTTGCTATATGGGATCCAGAATCAAGCGTTCTTGCAATTAGCAGCCTAGGGATTAGAAAGTAAAATAAAAATTAATATCTGGAAAAGAGCGAGTTAAATACCAGTTCCTCCTTAAAAACTTTGTACCGGTAGCTGCAGGCCGTGATGCCACACCGAAGTACAGTAAGATACGGTTGGGACGTTATCTTTATCGTTGAAAGAACCATCTCAAGGGCATGTTTTCCTCAGCATATGGCAGCATAACGTCAGTTAATATACCTTTATATCCGGATCGGTTCCCTTGAATGAATAGATCATTTTTTGCCAGACTGACGATGGAGGTGCCGTTGTTTGTGAAGATTTCTTCTTCCGTCCTCGTTTTTCAGTAAGCACTTTTGATTTTAGATAATTTTGCTATTTCCCGAAAAGTTTTTCCTTTTTTTTTGAACATTCACGGCAATTTACTTTTTTTTAAGGGGTACAATGTTATTTTCGACCCATCTATGATTTTACCTTGAATATTCTTAAATAAGCAAGGAGTCAAATAAATACGACATACCTTAGTCCAATTCTAAGTTTAATCCTTTAAAATTTAAAAATAATTCCGGTGTAGTTATTGTTTTGAGCAGACTAAAAACGACTATTCAGCACAAATTTATGCTTAGCATTAAATAAATGGGGATCCCTATTTTTTTGGATTTAAATGTTGTACATCACTATAACCTTTGAAAACATAATCAATTAGCAAATGAGCACGATACCTATGTACTTATTATTTTGGCTAGTAGTGTAAGTCGAAGTTTTTCATTTTGAGAAGTTGAATTTAAAGAATGTTTCTTATAAGTTGTATCCAGAGTATGATAGATAGATAGTAATTACCTTTTAGTCATATTTAAATAACCAATTAAAAAACAATTTTAATCATTGACTCTTTTATTAAATGTAATATGTTATAATAATAATTGATGGCTTGAGTGAATGGGATAGGATCTGTACGTTTACATTTTCAGTTGATTCTGAGAAAAGTGATTACAATCAATGTAAGAACGCTTTTGTATAACTATTAAGATTATTTAAACTTTTATTTTTGATAACACACATGCTAACAGTAAAAATGACCCGTTGACCTGGCTTGTGTTCTATTTTAAAGAATAAAATTTGAAAAATATGACTTGGCTTCCAGGATTTCTTATATTAGTTATGTAGTATGCTGAGTTACGGGACGATTTCTTAACAATTCAAAGCGGGATTGGCCGTTATTTTAAAAATTAGGAAAATATAATATAAAAATTAACAATTCGTTAGTAGTGTTTGCACCTACTCCCAGGCTATGCTAAAATTTGATTTGAATTGTTCCTTTCAAGAATGTGTGCGTTTTGTATGTTTTTATGAATATGGATACCAAAGTAATTTAAACTGCTGTTTCAGTGTGACTGTGGGATGATAAACGTTCGACGTCAATTTCAGGAATGGTCAGCTCATCGGGTATATTGTCGGCATACTCAATAGAAGATGTTTCCGACAGACGTTTGCTCAACGAAGTCTGCTTACGCAGTACCTCTGCCAGGGACGTGTTGGTGTGATCACCGTAACGGGCGTCGAGACCTTGCCGGAATGCGTTCACCACTCGAATCTAATCGCACAGTAGGTAAAAAGAAAAGAACAACACCAAGAACAGTGACAAAAAAGACAGGAACAACAGTATAAAAAAAAATCTGAAATCAGTCAAGCCAAAGAGTAAGGCATGTACATATGTATTAACGTTCATTCCCATTATGTACATATGTATAAACCAAATCTAATACAAAATAAGAGTGACGATTTTATATTTTACTACAAATAATTTTGTACACATGGACAAATAGTTATGCAAATCTCAAGAATGGTAAGATAGGTAAGTTCAACTTAAATCAGACGGACAAATAACAAGCAGTAAAATGTATGTGTCGCTAATCCTTTTTTACATGGAAGTTTGTCTTATCGGTAATTTGGACAATAGTTCAATTATTTAACAATCGCTCAACAATCTATAAGATAGTTTAGTATAACATGCATAATACAAACAAATTTTGAAACTAATTTAAATGGTGTCGAAAATACTACAAAAAACTAAAAATCGATGTTCGGTAATTTAGAAGTTTGAAAACAAAAATCAAAGCCTAAGAATTAAAGATGAAAAAATAATTAACTCGTAAATTAAAAGGAATCATAGACATGATGGGTAATTCGGTTTTCCGAAGTGATCCTGTTCTGTTTATTACCATAAATACGGTATGTAATAATTTGAGTATATTAAAGAAGATCGTTAGAATTTTGTATAATAGTACCTGACACTTCAATGCCTATTTTGTTGTAATGTTTTCAGCACGAGTTATTGCAGACAAACAGACAGTTTAAACATATTTAAGTTATACCATGTAAGCTCATTCTTAGTGTCAAATTTGGCCAAGACAGAACTTAGTGTTTGGGTTTCTTTTAAATTATTTAAAATTTGTAAACAAAAAATGATAATAAAATTGTGAAGGCTTACAGCTTGATCAGTGTTGCTCTTGCTATATGGGACCGGAATCAAGCGTTCTTGCAATTCGCCGCCTATTACCTTTAAGATTAAAGAGAGAGAGGGAGAGAGATAGAAAGTAAAACAGAAAACCATAAGTGGAAAGAGAAAAATAGATATAAGAAGGCTGAAATTTGGAATTATCTTGCTGCTATAAAAATGATTTACTACAAACATTTTAATATTAATTTGAATATAATAATATACATGTGTTGTTGTTCAATTGTTTAAAAGCAAATAAATGTAAGTTTAAATGATTAGAAAAATACTTTGGTGTTTAAAACTATATAAAAATTTGTATGTACCATGATAATGCATGTCTTTGTAAATGCATATAGAACACATATGTATGTAAAAAGAAGGACATGTTAACTTTATGATCATCAGCTAAAAATTATTCTGGAAAGGACACAACAGGCTTGTTGGTAAGAAAAAATATACGGCTGTTTTATTAGTTAAGAGCAATGATGAGAAGCTAAAAGGTTTTTAGTAACATAGCACAAAATATATTGACACCCCACCTTAGATATATGCACATGTACGATATTTAACTTGCGCTTAAATAATATATCAATACGACTTCCTATATCTTTAATCATTTTCATGTGTTGAACTGTAAACTCTATTTTTACCAAGTTTGATTGATACCAACATATTTATATATTTGAATACATAAAAATCCTTTACGTCTACAATTCTTTTGCCCTTTAAGGTCGTTGTAATGTAACAGCGGCCAAACAATATACTGCAATAGATACACAGCTAAATTGATAAACAGAAAAATGTTCACAAACACAGCTCCATGTTTGCATAAAGTTAATAAATATTAACGCACCACACAGTAAAAGTAGACATAAAATCTCATTTTTTGTTAGTAATAACATTACTAAAATAATACATTACTTTTTTTCAAAAATACGAAGTTATTTTATAAAATGCATGCTTACATTTACATGGGTAGGTATTATTGTTAGAGAATATAAATTTCAGGGTAACTCAGGGAACCTTTAGATTTTGAGCATTGCGTGTACTTATCTGGTTGGGTATAACAGGCTAGTTTAAAAATGAAATTAAGTGTTATATCTCTGGCTTTATGTAATTTCATGCACATATTTATAAATAAGATAAATAAATTCACTTTTGTCATTGAGGTTCCCTTAAGAGTTTACAGTTGAATCGAAAATGTCAGTGTTTTTTTAACATTATATACTGAAATAAGAGCGATCATTTACGTATTACATTAACCTGCTTGGGTTAAGTCTTACAAATAGGATTACGCTTAGAAAATCATGGTCAGTCTCATTTGGATTTCGGAATTCTTGTTGAGCCTCACCATGATTTGTTTTTTCAAATTCGATACAAAATCAAATTTAATTGGGACGCATTTTTTTTAACTGAAACCATTTAAATTCGAGTCTCATTTTGTCCATTGGAATGCTTAGTTTCAGTGTTATTAAAACGGATTTGTTGTTGCAAGGTTTGTGCAATTTCTGAAAAGCTTTGGCTTGAGGCAGGGACAGATATGTTTGTGGATATTGATGGGTGTTGGGAAGCTATTCCGTTGTGCAAAATACGCTGATGCTGGTGCGGGTCTTCGTCAATGTAAGATATGTCCACCGGCAGCATGGCACTTGACACGTTCTGTTGAGGCTTCGCTGGTGGCTTTGGTTGCTGTTGTTGTTGGTGCTTGACGTAATTGGGGCTCAGCAGATTAAAATTGTACAATGGGTGGCCACTTCCCAATTGAACTGGGAAACTCGTCCGAGGACTGCGTAAGCTATGTAAGCTGTGCATCGATCGACGTTCGTTTAGGTCTTCCAATGTCGAGCGGAAAGCACGAATCACACGCAACTGAAACAAATAAAATTAGACAAAAAACGAACAGAAACAGAAACGTAAACATAAAGGAAACAACGAACGAAATAGCATTACAGTTAAAACATACAGATGTATGTATATGGGCATATACATTTTTTTAAATCATATGGAAACCTATTAAAGCGCACAAATTTATTAGAAAAACTAAATAATTCAATTATTATTCAATTTGTAATAAGTAAATCAAGCACAAACCATTCTTATTTTATTTGGCTGTCCAAAAAAGCGATTAAACAATAAAATTAAAGGCCTTAAAATCAATAAAATAAGCTTTTACATTGCATTGCCGGTTAAACATGTGTATTCATACATACGGGTAGACATCAAAATAAAGATTTTCCGTCATGCGTGCGGATGATTTTTAGTTTACTTGATCGGACGCGATTTCGGAAACTGACACTATAATACGGACTAACAAGTGTTTTATAATATCTCATTGCTTTCTTTCTTTTAAATATATATATATATATATATATATGCAACGATGTAACGCTTTTATAACGAATAAATACTTTCAACTTCAAAAAATTAATGATTGAATATATATACGGCATGCTTTTTTAATAATTTTAGTATTCAGAACTATAAAGGTAAATAAAAATAACAATTAATTTAAGTATGTACAAACATTTGTAGAGGGACCCTACATTACTATAATTGGAGCAATAAAGTTATATTATCGCTCAAAATTGTTTTTCATAAAAATAATGGCGAAATAAAAAAGTCTCGTTAAATGCATTTACGCTTCCTCTTGTCATCTACATACTTATGAAAAAATAAAATAGGTTTGGTAATATACTCTACGACTTTCGGCTACAAGAATTTAAAGTAATAATAGGAAATTCCAGAGATATTTTTAAATTAAATATATTTTAAGTAAAACAAAAGTTAAAAAAATATATATATTTTGTGATATCGAATGATCTTAGTGATCCCAGTCAATTTACAAAAATACTCAGACAAACCAAAAATATAAAATGATTATGAAATCCTTTTCGAAGTGTGAAAACCACTAAGAGTACTGTGCAACATTTTAAGGTTTTTTTCTTCGGACATCTTTTTATTTAGGAAATATAATTATTTAAAGAAAACCTGTTATTATTTGTGTTGTTACACTCATACCAAAATTAACCCTAAAAACCTTTTTTGTCTTCAATGGCAACGCACCATATTTTTTTCTAAAATTAAGGGCGTTTCCTTTCTAAAATCTAAGACACAAGCCCTAAAAATAAGGAAAATTTTTCTAAAAAATAGAAAAAGATTTCTTAAAAGTAGCGCATCTTACCATAAATTGTATGGCTCATTTTTTCTAAAAACTTAAAACTTTTAGTCGTTCTAAACATTACATCTCATGTGTGTTTATAACACAAGTACAAAACAAGGAACAAAAATGTATGTTTTTTATGTTATAGGGCAGAATTCATCATTTTAAGGAAAAAAATTCTAAAAACAACTGCCATTTTTACTAAAATATAGAAATTTTTCTTGGATTTAGGGCGATTTTAGTTTATGGCGACAATTTCTGCATTTGAGAAGCACTTTCTTGATTTAATATAATCTTGTTTTCAGAAAAAAAAACTTAGAAATATAAAAATTTTTCCTGGATTTAGAAAAAAATGGTTTTATGGCGAATTTCCAATATTTAGGTTATGTTTTACTTATTTTTTATGTGGCATGTAGTAAAGGAAAGGACTAAGGAAAATTTATCGGAAGCACAAAAAAAAATATATAAAATATACAAAAAATTTCCGATTGTAATAGATTTTGCGAAAGAATTTTTTAACAAAATAAAATAAATTGAAAATGCGCGTCCGGTAGAGGGTTAAATTTAAAATATGATGTTCTTTTTTAATGACTTTTTTATTTTCATGTCGTCATCAATATTAATGATATTTTTAATTTCCTTGCAGAGGGCATAAAATTTTAGAAAGATATTTGCTATGTATTGAGGGAGAAAAAAAATAGCACCGCCAGAACAAGAAATGTTTATATCTTTACCTTACTTACCTTTAAAAAATATTTTTTGACTAATAAAAAATATCCTTTGTGGTCCTCCGATTCAACATTCTAACAGTAACATAAAAGGACCAATCTTTAGCAAGCCGAAGTTTGTATACCCATGCCGGTGTTTCAAAAATGAAATATCCTATATTTTAATACATATATATGTTTAAAAACAATGAAGCTAGGTCGGATATTAATATAAATAAACCCGTTATTCCGTAAATCGTTAAAATTTACTATATACCAGAGCATATGGGCACTAACCATACAACATATAGACTGGTCATTTCATACAACGAATTTGGTCACAAAATTTTTCAATCGGGAGGCCCCAGTGCTGGAATCAGCAGGCCCCGGACACTTCGTGTGACTTCGGGTTTTTTTCGCTCTCGTTCTAATTCTTATTTTGACGCTCGCGCTCGAGTTCGGTCGTTCAGTCGCAGAGACGCGCATTTTAAAGAAGGTTGGCCTGCGCTTGAATTGGGCTTTGTATGTATGCGTGTTCATGCATTCTCATACAGGGGTGCATGTGTGCGATCATTTCATTTCGATGCAGCAAGAATATTTTGTCTTTTGCTACTTTTCCGACTTGGTATCCTAACAATATGGGCGTATTCACTATTGGGTTAATGATAAAAACAAGAGAGAACGCTATAGTCGAATGCCCCGACTATCAGATACCCGTTACTCAGGTAAAGGGAGTGCGAGGGAGATGGAGATAGAAACTTTAATCACGCATAACTTTTTAACGAATGGTCCGATTTGAAAAATTTCTTCTACATTTCGATAGGTATTGATAAACACAATAAAACTGCATTTTTACTTTTCCGAAATATTTAAATTTTTAAAATCGTATATAAGCGATCGTGGGCGTTAAGGGGGCGTGGCACCATTTTGAAACAAACTTGCGCTGCGTAGGAACTTCTAAAATCTACATGCAAAATGCCAATCTTCTAGCTTTTATAGTTTCCGAGATCTCAGCGTTCATACGGACAGACAGACAGACAGACGGACAGACGGACATGGCTAGATCGACTCGGCTAGTGATCCTGAACAAGAATATATATACTTTACTAGCTGTACCCGGCGCGACTTCGTTCGCTTAAAATTAGTTTTGAGTACGGTTGTCAAGACTTTCCTATTTCCACACCTCCCCTGAGGTAGAGAAATTGGCGCGTTTTTTTTAATGTGGTATCTCCAATTAGACCTATTCCACTGAAACTTTCTAGGTTTAATAATGTTAATTAATATGATTACTTTAAAACCTCTGTGTAAACAACATTTTTAGAAGATCCTTCAGGAGCGAGAATAATAAGGCTACTGGCAGAGCTAACTCTAGAGCATGCGACATAAAATTGTCCATGAGAGAAGCAATCTTCTCTAAGATCTAGTCCAGCCAGCTTTAAAGTCTGCCCCTGCGATTTATTTATAGTTATTGCAAAGCAAACTTTTAGAGGGAATTGTAGCCTTTTAAACTGAAACGGCAGACTGGATGGTATTAATGGGATCCTGGGTATAAACACTGTTTCCCCCTTCGCGCACCCCGTAAATACTGTTGCTTCGATTACATTCTTATGAAGACCTTTTATTTGCAATCGTGTCCCATTGCATAACTGTGGGGGACTTAAATTTCGCAATAACATTACGGGTGCTCCAATCCTAAGAGACAGATTATGCTGAGGAATTCCTGGAGGATTCAAAGAATTTAAAAATTCAACAGGGTAATGAACAGCATTATCAGCATCAGGAACAGAGTCGACCGATTTATAGGAGACTTCTAAACCATCAAATGAGTTTAGCAATAAATTATTAATAGTGGTTGCTCTTTCATTTTTCGTTGTCAAAATGGCGCGCTCAGATAGCCAATCTAAGCTTTTACATGATATGTTGGAAATGTCAGGAAATATTTTGAATGTAAGGTCTTGAATGTTTTTGACTACATTTCCTAAGCGTGATGTTATAACTATTTTTCCATCAACTGTTGGATGGACGCCATTCCCAATTTTTAAAAAAGTTTCGGCAAAAATACCTGCAGAACTGTCTCCTTTTAAGTGCACTCGCATATTTTTCGTGAGCGCTAGTTTGTTTATCTGTGGCCATAAAAATGAAGATTTTAAACAGGCCTTTATTTCGTCAGCTCTTGTACCTCTTGGAACAACAGGAAGGGTTTGGCGAAAGTCTCCAGCTAGCAGGACTGTAATACCACCCACCAACATAGTATTCTCATTATTATCTTGCAGGGTTCTATTTATGGCTTCAAGCCCACCTTTATGTGACATTGTGCACTCATCCCAAACAATTAACTTACAATCTTTAAACACCGCAGCCATATTACATTGCTTTGAAATAGAGCAATGAGGTGTTTCTAAATTAACTAAATCCAAAGGAAGTTTAAATGTAGAATGAGCAGTTCGACCTCCATTGAGCAGGGTAGCAGCTATACCGGAAGATACTACAGCTAGGGCTATTTTTTTTTAACTTCTAACTTTTGCCAACAATAAGTTTGTCAAGAGGGTTTTACCTGTCCCTCCAGGTGCATCCAAAAAAATATTTCACCCATCTCAGCCCCAACGCTTTGTAAAATTGTATTGTATACGACTTTTTGCTCGTTCGCTTAATATTAGTTTGGAGTTAGGAAATTGGGTTGTCAGGACTTTCTTATTTCTTATTTGCGCGTTTTTTGAAAACCTTTGTGTAAACAACCTTTGTAGAAGATCCTTCAAGAGAGAGAATCAGAAGGATACTGGCAGAGCTATATAATAAATGAAAGTGATCCAAGTAAAAGTCGTGAGCTTGTATACTTTTTATCAGTTACAATGTTATCAATGCAATTTTAATTTGCGCACAAATATGTATACTTGTTTGTAAATTGGAATTTGTTGTTTTCAAATTTCTTGTTTTGAATGAAACGAAAACCTTTGTACACACAGTAAAAGATTGGCACCCAATACAAAAACAGCAAAGTAACG